CACATATTGTGTTGTATCTTACTCAAATTTTGCTCATTTTACTTTATTTTTTCTGGGATATGAAAGACACTTTAAAAGTATATTTTTTACAACTTAGATCATGTAATTTGGTTAAGTATTAGTTGAGTTATGATAGATTTTGTATTTGAGTGTACTTAGTGTGACGAAAATCACGAATCGCACGTGTGACAATATTTATGAAAATGACAGTAAGTGTCTTCTCACGAGTACTGCCTTTAACCATACTGCCCTACTGCCTTAGGACCGGAACCTTGTTAATTCTCTCAATCCCACAATGGTAGTTCAATTGCCCATTGAGCTCATCATTTGCATCATCTGTCGAAAGGTAGTGAAGGCGCGGTAGCAACGATAGCCCAATTCTAGACGTCAACTGACTGAATCTTCAAGATGGCTTTCGGCAGTCTCACGCAGATCACGACCTAGGAAGAGATGGAGACGGATATTGATCATCCTTTTTACACTAGTGATTGATGGACCTGCTTCCGGATCTTCAGTGCCGTCCGCTGCCTGTACATCGGAACACTTACAATAGCTACAGGAACCGATTGGACTCCGGTATAAAATTGTGTCAAACTCGCATGATCCCCTCACTCACATCTCAGTTCTCTTTTCCTCGTCTTTCGCCTTTCCTCTCCTTGTGGCCCGGTGCCAGTCAGCCTTCCTTTTCGTTGACCGATTACGTTCGTTTCATTCAATCCGCGAAGGACCCATTTCACGATAAACTTTGACGAAAATGTTCTCAAAGACACTTTTCACTACTTTGACTCTTCTTGTGCTGACTGCGACCTCCGCTCTCGCTGCACCCCCTCTTTCATGCCCCGCTGCGTCCACCGTCACTGTTGTAGCATCGAGTTCCAGTGCTGTCGCATCTAACGTCGCAGTTGCCAGCTCATCTGTTGTCTCGTCAGCTGCAGCGACCGCCACGGCCTCTAATAAAGGAGGTAAAGACAAAGACGGTAAACACGGCAAGGGAGGCAAACACCGCGGCGGCGGCAATAAGGGCGATGACTATAGTTGCTGAAGTCCGGTCCTGGTCCGGTCCGGGCATACTTCACCTGGACTCAGGACCGGACCAAATCTGCGGTCCGGGAGTGTCCCGGACTGGGGACCGGACCTATGTGGACGGGTAGTGGACCGGACCCAAGTTCCAGTCCGGTTCTGGACCGGTCCATAACCGGACCTGAGAGAAAAAAAATTTAAGAGATGAGTTAGAGTATTATTCTTTGTATCTAAGTACAAAAGTAATATATTTTTGTATATACTACATAATCTACAGACTAGACACTGTAGTGGTTTTCCTGACACAATTCTGAGGCTTTGGCACAAGCCTTGCAACACGAGTCCTGAAGCTGGACTACAACTGCCTCTAAGCTGGTTACTGCAATTTACAGACACTTAGTTGTCGGAACATGAATATTTAGGTACTTAGCAGCAGACAGACCTGTCTCTTCGAGGGTGGCAATATAGTTAGCACAGTGTGCACGGAAAGCAGCCTGAGCGTCAGCGTTCTTCTTCTTTCTGAGAGTGATTTCAGACATCTTGTCTAATTTGTCAGGGGCAGGGGCATTGGCTGGCTGCTTGACTGGGGAGGGTGGCTGGGACTGTGGCGTCTTTGGCATAGGACAGGAGAGGAGTGAATATACATAAAGGGAATAAATATTTCAGGAGACAATAACCAGATAGGAAGAGTCAAGTTTAGTAAGCCATACATTGAACAGTAAAGAACAGGAGTAAAGTTTTGCTTTGCTTGGACTGCCAGAAACTTGTAAAATGTACTATGCAAGTGCTAGCTAATATTCAAAGATCCTTAAAGGAGTATGATCTGTTTTAGTATAGTGAGCTAGAGATATGGGAAACGAGATTTGAGACATTAGTTCAGGTTATTCAGGTCCGGAGTCCAGTCCGGGTCCGGACGAGTCCATCGGTCCGGGAAATTTCTCAAAATGATGGACCCAGGACCGGACCTCTCCTGGACCCATGAGGACCGGACTGTAGAGGACCGGTCCATCAGTCCAGTCCTGCGTCCGGACCGAGTCCGAGCGGTCCGGGACCGGACATCAGCAACTATAGCGATGACACTAGCTCGATCGCATCTTCGACAGATGTTGTTTCTGCATCGAGCTCAAACATCGCTGTCTCGACCTCTGCT